GGTGAACATACTTAATACTCCTGTCTCCTATTTTCCCCACAACAACAACCCTGTCAGGTAGGTTGGGCTGGGAGAGAGGGACTAGCCCACTCCTTCCACTCATGGCGACTGCTAGAAGGGTAGATGGAAGCCCCAGCAGGGTCCATCAGTTGTGACCCTACCTGGAGCAGGAGGATCAGGACTGGACTACTGCAAAACTCTCTCCGTGGGGCTGCCCTTGAGGATCACTCAGAAACTGGAGCGGTCTAGAATTCAGTGGGCCACATACAGTCAGGTGTTTGACACACTGTGAATCTGTGACTGATTGCCAGTTGATTCCTGGTTGCAATCCAAAATGTTGTTTTTAAGTTATAATGCGTTGTACGGCTTGGCACCTGATACCTTCAGGACCTCCTCCTCTTACCTGATTTAACCTGTCTGAGGCATCTGTCCTGGGAGAAACAGTGAGTGGTGCCCCATTTCCAGGAATGGAGGAGGCTCGAGGCCCAGGGGCCTTGATTCCCTGCAGTCACCTGAGTGGCCTCCTGGGGACAAGATTTATTCCTCCAATAATAACCTTTTTATCCTAAAAGGCTTTGGGGTGAATTGTGTTGCTCTCATGGTTGTGTTTCGGATTTTAATTTTAACACAATTTTAACTTCAATACAATGTGGAGATGTCATAAGTGTTGCAAATCTCCAAGAGTCATGAGATCTAGCGTTGTATAATTTAATAAATGAAACTGGCTCGTAATAGCAAAGCTAATGCTTTTGACATACACTTTGCAAATGATTGGAAGTGCTAAGCATGTCTTAAGCTTCTTGTGACTTTTTACTCAGTGCTGTAAGGGCACCTTCCCGCTTCTGAGTTTTTTTTGATGTGTTGGATGGCTGTTCCCTTTCACCTTGCTTTGATTATGTTTGCTGTATCCTATAGGAGTTGTGCTCCGAAACACCTGGAAAATACTACATTGAAGAAGGTTGCTGTACGCTGAGCTAGTATTATAGGCACATGTGTACAGAGAGACAGATTTACTGAAGATTTGGAGAGATGAGTTAGTGACGTGAAGTGTTTGTATAAAATGACCTAGTGAGCACATGGCTGAATGAAACTCTCCTGCATAAGGATTTTGGAAACTTGGGGCGACATGCGTGAGGATTGAGGCTATCTTGGGGTGCAAGTGAATAACTTTGGAGTGGGAAGGGCTGGTGTTGGTGGAAATATTTTTTTTTAACTCAGTAGGCATCCTTCTGTAAATTCCATAGTCTTAGCTATAGTTATATCCCAGATTAACTCAATCGGTATTTTGCGGGATGGCTATATAGCAGGATCCCTGTGCCTGTAAAATACTCCTATGTGCTATGTCAGTGATGGCGAACCTCGGCGTGTCAAAAATTTGATAAATGGCTAACTTGACTCTGCTGGTGTGTCACCCCTCACCCCCCAACAAAAGAGAAACAATTTTTACATATTGATTTATTTTAAAAAAATACAGTCCAATCGTGTGGTGTTATGTATTATGTAAAGAAATGTCAAATAATTACAAAAATGACATACGAGTAAAACAAACTCAGTTTCTCTGGTAACTCAAACAGGAAGAATAGTTGTTGGGCGTTGGTAAACGCTGGCATGTCACCCAAAATGTGGCGTGTCACCTTTGTGTGTCATAGGTTCGCCATCATTGTGCTGTGTGGACCTTCACTGGCCTTTCTTCAGTGGCCTTTTCCTTATGATACAAGGCACGAGCCTTTGTGATTTAGTTTAGATAAAAATCCAGGGTGTTGTGCTTGCTGATTATGAGATCATAAATCAGGTAGAAGGCGGAAGGAGTTGGCCTTTCAGCAGTTCACCCCCACATCAGGTCATCCCTGAAAATATGGGCAGTCGATTCAGGAAATATCCTGACCTCCGCTGTTTGCTGAACTAACCCTTATACTAACAGAAGAGAATCTCTGTCGCTCAGGGTTGAACAGTGGAGTCCTCGGTGCTTTCTGAGCTCGGTTGCTTGCTTGGGGACATTTCATGACCCCACTAAGTAACCTCATCAGTCACCCAGCTAGTCACCCAATCAGTCGCCCAGCTAAGTAACGTCGTCCTTGTGGGGTAACGAAACCTCTGCCAGCCAGCCACCAAGCTCAGAGATCACCAAGGACTCTGTGGCCCTTATACCTTTATTAGCAGGGATGAGCTTTGCTAAATTGCTTTTAAAAGGGTCAGCGGAAGAGAGAAATAGATTTTGCCTCCTTCAGAAAGCTTGCAGTACAGCTCACCCACCAGACTTGGCCGTTTCTGTTGCATCCTGCTGTTTGTGAACTTCCCAGGAACGTCTGGCCAGCCGGGCTACAATAAATTAGGCAGGTTGTTTCATCATTATGTCTTATTATTCATTTATGTCATTGAATTTATTGTAGCCACCCACCTCAACAGACTCTGAGTGTAATACCAAGTTAAAACAATTAAAAAACAGATGAAACGGAACAGCCCGGATGAAAAACAACCATCAGAACGCAGCACCGCAGCCTCCACCCGATCCCCGCCCATCCCAAACACATTAAACCCAGGCTTGGGCTTTTTTGAATATTCTCTGCAAATCCCCTTGAATCACCCTCTGTGGTTTTCGAGCGGGGCCTGTGTTTGTTGAATGCAGCCACACCTTGAGCCCACTTGATAGCACAAACTGCCTTTGGTTAAAACGTGGAGGGAATTTCAGTGTCCTGTCGCAAGTGAAAGCCTTTCAGGTTTGTCCTCTCCCGGGCAGGGCCTAATTTAGATGTTCCCGCTGCCCAGAGCAGTTGCTTTTGGTTTGCTAGAAGCTGTTTGTCTTTTAATTAAAAAGAAAGTTGATCGCCCATGGTTTGCCAGCACGCTGCTTACCCCAGTGCCCTTGAGAAGCTGCGGGGCTATGAATTATCCATGTTAAGCATAAAGAGATCTGTCTGGCTCATCTGGCAAGATAAACCGCCTCCCCCACAGCTCATGGTTTATTAATAGTTTGCCTAATAAAGTTTTCGGTCAGCTTTGGGAAAACGCAGACGGAGTGCTCTTGGAGGGTAGACCTTGTTCAGGGCACGGGCGTCTGCAAAGAGGAGACAAATGACAAAAAGCATGCTGCGGTGTCACGAAGCAAACCGCCTCACTTAACGTGCTTGAGGCTGACGTTGGGCCGCAAAAAGAATGAAAGGCTGGGGTCTGTTTGCATTGT